CCACATTTGCTACCTTCCAAGCCCCCTCTGTCCACAGAAATACTCTTTCTTAGGGGATTATGAGGGGTGTCTTTTTCTCAATCCTTCCTTTCTCCACCTACAATTTTTCAGATGGTCTTGTTTTAATTTAGGGGTTTAGGAAGCTGAAGGCCCTCAACCCCTTCTAGGGTTCACTTCCTAGTTGTAAATTCCAGTGGGCAGAGGTAATGGGCTCAATTTTCTGTTCCAGGAAAGCTCTGCTGAACGTAGGAACAAAGAGTAGGGGGAAAATATGGAGGAAGCTGAATTAATATTAACTGCCTTGTTTAGAGAAGGCTGCCTTGTGTTGCTGCAAACTTCTGCAACTGCATAGCTGTTAAAGAGGTGAAGTCTCTATCAAGAGTGAAAGTCCTTTTGGACTTGTTGAAGGAGCTAAGGTAACAAAGAGAAGAAACTGAAGCCTGGTTCAATTGTGGAGTAGAGGAGTCTTTAGGACTCCCCTGTGCAGAAGAGGAAATCTAGGCCTTACCACGGAAAAAGATGCAGTCCCTGGAAGACTGTAAAAAGATTGGAGGCAAACTTCCTCCGTGGCTCCATGACAAGGCTTCTGGGCACTGAGATAATATAAATACTGAATAATGACAGCAATAATATGGCCTGTTCCCCCCAGAACAAACAGAAAAAAACCCCAAACCAAAAACCCAGGGGAACAGAGAAGAATACACTTATGAAAGACAAGGTTAAAATCACTAATGGAAACTTCACAGTTATTTGGAAAGAGACTAGCTCAAGAATTCAGCCACTGAGAATTCAGGACCTTTTGGAGGCATTAAAAAATAAAAACCAGAGAACATCTGTAATTTTCCAATGCAGATTATGGAAGACCCCGAGTCAGCTGTGACAAGAATGATAACAGCACAGTGGTTTGTTTTCTTTATTTTACCCTTGAGCAGATAACCTTTCATATTTTAGTAGAGCAGTCTATTTTTTAGACACTGATGACATTTTTCACTATGTTGCAAAACTTCCCCTTCTTCTCTCCTCTCTGGGAACAAATCCATCCATATCATTTGACCACAGCATAGTTTCAGAGAGAAAGCTGCACAGGCCAAAGACATGGCATTTTGTGAGGGACTCTCAAGTATGATAATATACATCATATGCATTGAAAGCTGGCTTGCCCCTAATAATAATGGACAGTGTATTGAGTTGGGAAGGAGGTGGAGTGGGATGCTACTGGGAAGTTCTCAGATACAGTGTTGATGTGGGGAGTCATAAAAGAACACAGACAGATAGATGGTGTTTGGTCATGTATGTATTAGTAAACCAGAAGATCATTTCTGGGCACCTTGTTACTAGAAAGAGTGAATACAGGTTAGGTGTGATGGCTGCCCATTGGGGATGTTATGATCACAAGGTGGGATTTCTGAAAATGCCTAAAGCAGCAAGGCACCTGACTCCTACTGAAATTCAATGGGAGTTGGATGCCCAATACGTTTAAATCCTTTTAAAAATCTTACCTAGAGGCCACAAATATTGGAAGAAATAAAAAGGGAGCACAGCTAGAAACAACAGGATAAAAATGTTTAAAGGGATATTTAAAACAAAAAGCAAGAAAATCTCCTTCAGATGGAGCTCCCTTAGGCTGCTAAGCAGAGGAATGGTGGAACGCCAGAGCCTGTGATATTTCAAATTAGAGTCAAGAAAGACCTTGTGACATGGTTTTTAGCCTTCTCCAAAAGGGGTTCTCTGCTTTCTCCCATCTTGTTTTACATACTGAGGTCATGTGCTTAGGGAGTTTTGCACTTGGAAGAAGGGAGAGTAGACCTGCTAGTGAAGTAAATTATTATCCTGGCTCTGACCATACTACTTAAGGGCAGACAACACCCTTGAAATGTAATTCTAGACCAGCCCATTATAAACAGCAATAAAAACATAATGTGAGGATCAGTGAAAAACACAATACTAAATTACATGGAAAACACAGAGAGGTCAGACAGTTTTAAAAGCCACTAGAGAATGACCCAGTGCCCAGTGAACTTGAGCCCACCTATTCGATACCATGGTTCCAGTTATACATTAACATTTTCAGTCACTTTCTCACTCCTGCCTTGATGCTCCTGCCTACTGAAAAAGCATTTCAAAGAGCACTATACCAAAGGTATGTCTTGATAATACCCTTCTGCCAAGCAATCTAGCTTCAGCATGATAGATTCCTTTCCTGAACCTCCTTATGTCACTGATGCCAACACATGCCAGCACCTCCACCTCTCCCACTGTAAACTGTAAAATCCTAACACACATTCTATAGTCTTTGATCCTGGGAAACTGTGAACAGTCCTCTGAATTGTCATGCACTCAGCTATCAGTATTTCTAAGTAATGACTCCTATTTCCCACCCACCCCCCAAATCCCACCCTTTGTTCTTGTGGAATCTAGATCCCCTGCAGACAGTAGGTGGTTCTTCCACAAGTTCAAAACTGGTTTATAAGGTCAGACTCTCAAAATCCCCAATCCAGGATGCTGCCAACATGAGAAACGCCACTTGTGAGGATCATGAATGGGCACGCTGATACTAATTATATCAGGTACTACAAGCTATGGGCCTTTTTTAAACAGCTCAGAGTGCAAAAGACTTCTGAGAAATTATATTAATTAAAAATGCCATAGTTCAGGATCAGATTCAGCATTACATACAGCAGGACATGCTGCTGCTTATGCCAGCAAAATAAAAAGGAGCAGGCAAATCACTGTCATCTCTGTGCCATGAAAATATCACAAGAATTTTTTTTCTCTATATTCCCATTAAGCTAAATCAGCAGCAACCTCATCTATTTCTGGATCAAATGTAAGCTTTGTTATCACTGGGCCATGGCCAGGCTCATAACAACTGGCTTCTGGCTTCCAGTTCTGGCTTCCAAAATGTTAAAAGGAAAGTTTAACAATAATAAACCATTGCATTTAACTGGTGACATTTGGGGACCATACTAAATTCTGTAGTGGATGATACCACAGAAGGATTCTGTAGATGAATAAACCAAATACCATAATAAGAGTCGTTCATCTTTAACACTGATATAGCTCTTTGATGTGGTGGTTTCCCTCGTCACACTGGATATCCAGTTGCATGCTATGCCTCATTGCCATATATTTAGGATCTGGTAGCAGAAGAATGTTATCCCCTTTGGCAGGTACAAGCATGAAAGTCATGGAGCATAACTTGTGACAAGTGATGAATTGTTTGCTTTTAAAGTATGTTCCTCATCGGGCATTTGAAGAATGTGCTGTGTGGTGACCCATATGCTATGGCACTGGCGGGTGCAGTGATGATATGTGAAGTGGTATGCATGAAATGAGAGACTTCTGCATGTGAAAGAGAGAACAATGGATCAGTGCCATATACCAATTTCAAATACAACTTATACATGCGGGTGGGACCTTAAGTGAAGCCTAAAGAAATCTAAATGGGGACTTGGAGTTTGGATGAGGTAATGCCTTATAGTGCAAGAAACTGAGCTTATAGTATTTCTCTACTACTTGATTCTCAGTAGAGGCACTCCAGGCCCAGTGCTCTAGTTTCCATTCCTGTTTGACTGAAGTACAAGGGATTTCCACTCCAGCTGTTCTACACAGTCACCTCTGCTGGCACATACACATATGATGCACCAAGGAGGTATCCCTTGGGAAAAGTCCTTCTAAAGGAGCTGCACAAGTGCTGTTCAGTCTGGGCCTTTTGACTTTGTGTCCTTGGTAGTGCAGCTCTCCACATCATCCAGCCCCAGAGTACTACTTTTGTTGCTGTCTGTTAAATCCTGCTCTACCTCTTTCTTTTTCTTCTTGCAGCACCGGCAGAGGTCATTAGAGTTCTCTAGCACATTGATACAAATGTTGATGACCAGTGCTAGCCAAGCCATGCCAAAGAGGATCCACAGAGATATCACATTCTTGTACCAGGCTGGATAGGTACGGTCTGGGTTCATCCCTAGAAAAAAAGAAACCAATACACTTAAAGATGGGACCAAAAGTGCCTTAACGCTCAAGCAGAAGCACTGGAAAACAAACCTATTTCATGGATACATAAGCAACAGCCCCAAAACATTACAAATGGTAAATGTTACCATAAAGAAGAAAAACAAACTTCCATAAGATCCAGTATAAAGATAAATGGGCATGAATGTGGTTAAATTGATAGAGTCCTGTTCCAGTGATACTTGTTAAGAATTAGTTTACTGTAGTAGGATGGTTGTGCATGCTTGAAATACCCTGTCCCATTGACAGGTGTTTCTGCTGGGAAAGGGCTAAGAGGTTTATGCTTACTAGGTGTAGAGAACTTGTTCAGTTTCCTGGGATATATCCAGGCAAGTCTTTTGCAATGAGATGGGATCTAAGGCATGAATTGGGCAGTGCTCAGAGGGGAACTGCAGGCACAGCCAAGCCAAAGGAGAAGGTTTGAGCTGAATGTTATGTTACTTCTGTTTGATTTATTCCTTACTTAAAATTGTAAGTTTTTTTCTTTTTTGGGGGGTGGGGGGTGGGGGGGAGAGGCAGGGCCTGCCTTTACCATCTGTTGCACAGTACCTGGAGTAATAGGGTCCCCATTTGTATTACTGTACAATCAATAGATATATTAAAACCAAACTCCAAAGTTTGGCTGTAACCAATGCATGAAATATCAATGAAAAGTAGATTGGATATCTGCTTACAGATGCACGCACAAACAAGATGAAAAGCACAGAGAACAAAGTGCCTGCATTAATGTTTTCACTATCACTGCTTAGCTTTTAGCTTTCATTTTTAATGGTAAGGTTTGTCATTTTTTGCACCAATGGTGCAAACATGAGTAAAAAGAACCCAAAATGCTAGAATTAAATTAAAGACACCAGCAGAGGAAAGCTGTCAGGAACCTCTCACCTGTGACAACATCAGACATGGGACTGAAACATGTGCACACATAACTGAACTAGTTTTTAACCAGTTAGAATGGGTACTGAGAATGGTGTAGCCATGGAAGCAGGGAGCTTAGTGTGAACTGCAACATCCATCCAAGATGTTGGGTGCATACCCTGGAGTGAGACTGTGCTGAGCTCTGTGCTGTTGCAGTTCCACTGCTACTGCTTCCACAGCTAATCTGCTGAAAGCTCTCTCAGGGATGCCTACAACAAACTGCCACCATGCCTTTGCCTATACTTTTGTCAACAAACCCTATGCCTAAAGGTTCCCATCACTGAGGTACCTGAGCACAAAACAAGAGTTATAAAGAAAAGAAAAATCCAGTGTACGCAATAAAGTGTTTTTCTGTTTTTCAAGGAGTGTGCGTGTATGTGAACGAACGTGCCCGTGTGTGTTTCTATTACTCACTTGTTTTTAAATGGGAAAGACTTTATTCAAAAGGTGTGCCCTGTGTTTTAGTATTAATACAGTTAGACTTGGGTTCAGTCCCATTTCTTTTGGCAAGGGGCTCTGGCTGCTGAGAACACTCTGCCCAGTGACTGGCAGTCTAAAACTAGATGCGTCTTGACCTACATTACTGAATGCAACTGTCTTGGGTGGAGACAGGTGGAGGTGGTCACAGTCTCTTAATGGCTTTGCAGATTAGGATCATGATGAGGCAGAATGCTTCTGATACTAAGCGTCTGCACTGGAATGCACCAACATTTCAGTCTCCAAACACTAACTACTAGCAGCTTGGCATTCTGACTAGGTAGGGTCTTTCAAAGGCACATCTCCACCTCAGCAGCAACCTATTCCAGCCAGGACAGCACCAAGCATGACCAAGTCACCCACCCTTCCAAACTCAGAAATTCAGTGTGGAAGATGCTCCACAGTCATCCCCATGCCATGGCGGAGGTCTCAAGAGCATCAACAGAGGGAGGCCCTGGAGCAGCCTAACTGGTATGTTTCTGGGTTCACAGAATGGGTGCCAGGACTTGGGGGATGTCACTATTGTAATGTACACCTGCCCTAATTCACACTAGGGTCAGAGTGGCCAGAGGTCAAAGGGTTGCTCACCCACCTTGAAATCATCAGCTGCCTCTTCCTGCCATGCAGAAGAGTCATTCTATGCAGCCTGGTTTTTTCAGTTCTATGACTTGTATTTGGCATGAATGATGAAATCCCAGTGACTTACCAATCACGTAATCTCCAAAGCCTATTGTGCTGAGGGTGATGAAGGAATAGTAGAATCCTTCTTCATAAGTCCAGCCTTCTATGGCAGAAAACAGTAAAGGCGGTAGCAGGAGGAACAGCAACAAGCCAGTAACCAGTGCACAGGTCCTTGTCAACAGGGTGGCTGCCTTCTGGTATGACAGAAAATTATAAAAACACCAGCTATAAGTCTGGAAGGGTGGAGCACTCAGAACAGGGAGGGTGAAGTTGTTCTTACTCAGCATGATGCTGGAGTCAACAGAAATATAGACCCTGTCTTGATTGGGCACTGATGCTACAAGATGTGCCTGGCTTGCTTTATTAAGCACTGACTCCAGTGACATCAGCTGAGTTTCCTGGGCCAGGGGCAAAGACTTTTGTCCATGCTAGGTAAACTTTTCCTACGCATATCACAGTAGTTTCCTGTTGACAAAATTTATAGTTTTCAAAACTCATTAGGGCTGGGAGAGTAGCCTCTGCCTCAGAGAAAAATTCTTTTATACCCCAAATATAAGCTGCATTTTTAAGATGTTTGGATATGAAACTTCTGATGTCCATATGAAGGATTCAGTACCTGCTTGTCAGGGAGGAATGGCTCCCTACATTAGCTGGTAAGCAATAGAAGAGAAATAAATAGCAAAAGAATAGGCAGAATTGGATTTTATTTAGAACAGTACATACTATACTTAATGATGTAAAATGTTAGTTTAATTCTGAATGAAAAATCCAGAAACTAAAACAAAGCACTCAGCTCATGCCCTAGTTTAGGTTAAATGAGTCTAGGTATCTTTGCAGCTTCACATCTGTGTGTCACTGAAGCACAGATTTTGGCATGGTTCAATATGATTTGCAAACCCTATGCCAGTAAGACTCAGGACAGGAAGAGTGGGGTGTGCCACTGCTGATAAATGATATTGGCAGAGAAGTAGAAAAAAAGGTGGAAGCAGGTCCAGGTCAGATCTGGAACAGCATGTTTTGTTGGAAGTCAGAACTGTGCCATGCTAGCAAACCTGGAGAGGAAAGACTGTCCTGTCTTTGGCTTAAGCCAATATCTTGTTATCAGGAGCACTAAATTCACAGCCACTTTCAAGCTTACTCAACCAATGCTATCTGATTAGTCTGGAATATAATTCCAGTTAATGACAAGCAGTTCAAATGTCAGGGAGTGTGAAAAACAACTAAACAGTGGCAGCTTTATTGCCATGAGGGAAACCATTCATCAGAATATTATACCTAACTTGGCTGCCATAAACTAAGATTAAGGCATACTAATCAGTGTTTCCCTTATCATTCAGGTAATTAGGTAATGTAACCTTGCTAGCAAGAGCATCTGAAAAACTAGACAATGTCCTCACCTTAATTTATGGCCCCCATGCTTATGGCCACATTGCTTACCTTCCAGTGGAACTTCTCCTGCAGATGCCTGGCACATTTGTGAACACCAGAGAGCATCAGCTGCCCAATTCGGTTTAGAACAACCAAGTTCAAGGGGATCCCAAAGAGGGCAAAGACAATGCATAAGATTCTAGCAATTGCAGTGGTGGGGCTCAGGTTCCCATAGCCTGCGGGGAAACGAACAGAGTGGTAAATCCTGTGCCCTTCCACTTCTATTGTTCCCACTCAACTAGACCTCTATCTTCTACAAGAGAAATGGGAGAAGGTCACTGCTCCAAAGGGACCCTTCTATATATAGCTTTTATTACTATCCATTGTTTATAACATCCTCTCAGAAGCTGGAAAATAAAATTTCTTTCCCTGCCAATTTCTATTTTCCGTTTCCATGTGCCAGTCACTGAATTTCCCTCCCTTATCCACCACCTGAGCCAGAACATGATATAAACATGAAACTTCTGTTTACTTATTTGAACTGCAAGCATTATTGATATCAGCGTGGCATTGGGAAGAAGGTTTGTTTGGCTAGTGCCTCTGCAGAACCATGCAAAGGTAATCAGGATCATAAAAGTGGTATTTTTTTTCTTTAGCCTCTATACAAAAAGTGGGCCTTTTTTGTTTTAAAGATATAAAAAAAATTAAAATCTGGCTCATATGGTCTTTGCCTCATATACTATAAAGAAAACAAAAAGACAACTCACTTGTGCTTGCCTTTGCAGGACACATGTCAAAACCATGAAGGAGGGAACAGGGCAGAATTTTCAAAAGCACTGAGGAACACAAGTGCCAGACATGTAAGGCCTGGTCTACAGCTAAAACATTGTCAGAAATTGCCCTCTCTCAGCACAAGTTTGCATGTATCCACACAAATATTTGATGGCCACTGGCAAAACCTAATCGGTGTAGGTGAATAAAGCCATTTGCCTGAAGAGTGCAAGCCTCTAGCTGACACAGAACTGCTGGCTCAGTGCCACTGTGGATATGCCCCAGTGATGCAACAAGTGGTGTGCCCAGGGTTCCTATTCATGGTGCACAGTGCCTTCTTCCAAAAGCCTTCTGCCCTATGAATGTGCGCCACCAGCAGAGCAATGAAGCGTGCACATGCTCTGACAATACAGATGACAAATGCTCTGATGGCAAAATTATGTACTGTAGCTATGGCCTAAACCTAACTGAAAGTCTTTACAATACCCTGAATGATTTGCTAAATGATTTGCTTTTAAATTATACTGCAATTAACGTCAATTGAGACTACAGGTAAAGAACAACTCTTTAAAGAGAGAACTCAAAAATTCCATGGCAGTAATGAGACAGGGGTCCCATGGAAGCAAAATTATATGTAATTGTGTAATGCATTCACATAAGGGGACAAAGTTACAATCATCCAGGCGACCTTAATCGTGATGTTGTTTAACTTTGTTGTTGTTTAAATTTGTACCAGTGGAATCACAGCACTGTAATTACCTGATGTAACCCCCTGAGGCAGGTGTGCTGCCTTGCACAATGCGGGATTTTGTCCTTAAAGTAGGTTGTATTACTGTATTCCCCTCTGAATATTAGGGGACTGTACCCAAAGGCTTTGTACCAGATCCAAAAAACCAAAGCAGAACACAGGATAGGGAAGGCACCTGTCCTAAACAAACCTGCTCCTGGCATCTCACAGGGACATTCAAGAGAGTTAATCCATGTTAAGTGAAGGTCTAAATTTGGAGTGCCTTAGTTAAAACACATCCTTGTGTGGATGTTCTCATTCAGAAGTAAAGTTCACTGTAGCTTAATTCTGCTTAGGAGGCGCATGCTAAGGCCATTTTACTCAAGACACTTTATTTAACTTGCTTTAAATTCACACCTTCTGGTGACTCGATTAAACTTGTGTGTCCCTGTGTACATGTGCATTTACACTGCTTCCATAAGGGATGCATTAGCAATGGGGGTTCCTCAAGAAGGAATGAATACAGTGATAAGTGACCCTCCCATCTTCACTATAAAGCCCAGCCGCAGTTGGCTGTTTTATACAAATGAACTGAAGTCTAACTTGGTGAAATTCATTCTGCTGAAGAGCAATTTGGAGAAAAAAAAGTGATTTTGTTCATCCCAAAGCTTTCTGTGAACTGCCTGTGCATTCATGCAGAAGTTTTAACTACAAAAAAAATTAGGGAAATGGTGAGAGGTTAGCTTTTCATAACAATGTCGTACTTCTATCCAATAGAGCAGTAGCTATCTGAACATGCATCTCTCAAGAGTGCAGTATCCAGCTTGTTACAGGTCGCAGTCTATAAAAAGGTGGGGAGACTAGAGTCTCAGCATCCCCTGCTGCCACAGTTGCACTGGAAAAGAACTAGATCTCAGGTGTCTGGCCTCCTGCTTGAGCTATACAATTACTAGACTATTGAGTATTCTGAGATGCGGCTCCACTTCGTATAAAACAATAAAGTAATGAGAGAGAAAGAGAGACTGAAAGACCTTCTTAGCTTGGTTGTTGAGGAACTCTCATGGAAAGTGGGAGATCTGGGTTCAAATTCCCACTGGCAGAGAAGGAAATTGAAGACAGGTCTCCCATATCCAAGGTGAGTTCTGTAGACACTGTATTATTGGGTAAAAATGAGGCAACGTCTCCTCCTCTGGCAGTTTTATGGAAATTTAGCTTCTCATTTCCTTTGCTTTTCTTACAAGTACCCAGGCCATTTCATTTCAGGTCAAATGAAACGTTTCAATCCAACACAATTTGGGGGATTTCTTTAATTCTATGTGGATGGAGAGAAATCTCTTCTTAAAAAAATAACAACCCCCCCACAAAACTTGGTGACTGAACTGAAAAACACCCACACTTTTGCACAGCCTTAGTCTGGATCTCACAGGTTCCTGGCAAGTTGTCTAGACAATGGGAAAGATTTTTAAGTGCACAAAGATCAAGCAGGTATCCAACTCCCAACTCTAGTGGGAATTAGGTCCCTATTGTCTCTTTTTACCTTTAAAAAACTCTCTTAAGACTACACCAGAGAAATAAATCCCACCATCTTTTCACACTTCTGTGTGGCTCTTCTGTGCCCCGTTGTCACCAATGCCAAGTCAGCATTAAGAGGAGCCATCTTTAGCATTTATATGGCTATAGAAGTTGAAGTTATGACATAGTTATTATCACTAGCTTTAAGCAAGGATTTATACAGACCGTTGTGTCAGTACCCCTTATTTGTTGCTTCTGAAGAAATGAAATAACATTTCCTTTGAAAAGAGGTGGTGTATCTGTCTGGATTCACATTGGTCACTGCTTTTAAAGGGAAGTACTGCAAAGGCAGCCCAAAATTTCCAAGCCTGCCAAACAATCGTCTTTAGTTGACAAAAGATCAAGGAGGATATTGCAGATATAAAAGGAAGCAATTAAGAAAATTCAGAAGCACAAATGAACAAAGGAAAATAAAAGGACGAGGTTGGGTGGTAGAGCTGGTCAACTCTGCCAACTCCAAGCAATCAAAAATCATGAATCAATCTCCAAATATACCATGAGATTGAGCTAAAAAATGAGTGTTTTTTAAATAAATTTGGGTTCTGTACCAGACTTCTGGTCCTTCATAATTCAAGTTTTCAAACCTTTATGGACAGGCATGAGCACTAGACACTTACTTTTGGGGAAGAAAAAAAAAAAGGAAGGTGATATTCTCATATAATCACGTGGCTCCAGAAGCTGGGACTTTAAGACACACACTAAATATAAGAAAGGACCAGGAATTTGAAGCAGGTGCACAAGCTGATACAGAACCAAAAGAGGGTCTCACACAAGAAAGAGAAAGCATGGTGGGTGAGGGCAGTAGATGTGACGGTGGAATTTTGCACACATGTGAGAGAAGCCAAGAACTGACATGAAAGATAGAAAGAAAACAGTATTGCAGGTAGGAGACCATCAAGGCCTAAACTGGGAGTTGGCTGCAGGGACAGAGCGTGGAGAGGCTGGAAAGGATAGAGCAGCAAGGTCTAATGGCAGCCTGCACCTAAGGGGCACATTGCATCCAACTTCTACTCTCATTCAGTATCCTCTGATCTCTTAGCCCCATGGCTTCTTTCATGCTACTGCTTCTTGGGACAGTCCCTACCTATCTTGTCTTCCTAACTCTTTCTTAATCCCCTCTTTTTATGGAAAGCCTCCTATACCAGTCTCTCCATGCTGGTGTCTAGTACAGGGGTGGGCAAAGTCTGGCCTGCAGTGGACTCCATTTTCCAGCAGCCCCGCACACATTCCTGCAGCCGGCAGAAGCCCCCTCATCAGTGCCATGACAGTGTGGGGCCAGAGCTTCCATGGGGATCAGCTCCACCAGTGCTGGCAGGGTGCAGCTGGACAGGGAGCTGTTCTGGGGCTGGGATCTTGCGGCGGTGGTCCAGAGCTGTCACCACTGCAAAATCCCAGCCTTGGCCCTGCAGCAACTCTCCACCCAGCCGCACGCCCTGCCAGCGCTGCTGGGGCTGGTGTCCATGGAAACCCTGGCCCTGCGCTGTCACGGCAGCACTGCTACTGTGGTCTCCATGGAAACCAGCTGCAGTGATGTGGGTGGGGCTGCTGGAAAATGGAGTCAGGCCACTGGCCAGATCCTTCATTTTGCCCACCCCTGGTCTAGTAACATCCTCCTAGTGAACTCTCAACCTTGTGAGTCGTATTCCTCCTGCGTTTGACTAAAAGTTCTTTGGAAGGGACCTTGTCTCCTTACACATTTTGAAGAGTCATCCTCATTCTTCGTACGTAGTGATGTCCGGGGTGATGCACCCCTTGTCCAGAACTTCCCATAACCAGCAAGAACAAGGGCTCTCCAACAAAGGATTCTTGAATGAGATTCCAGAACCATTGTCTTGTATCTGCCCCTAAATCAGTGATTCTCACCCGGGGGTCTGGGGTACCCTGGCACTCCATGACATCCTGTGGAGGGTGCCACCAGGCATGAGGAGATAGGCTAGGTGTGAAGATATAAGGTCACAAGTGCAGGCTCAGGCTTGCCCCTTTGCAACTGTTCCCCTGTCCCCCCTGCCAGCCCGTGACAGGAGGGAAGCACTGTAATAGATAAATTCATTTTTGAAACAGGGTGCCGCTCAATTCACAAAAGTTATGGAGGGGCGCCTCAAACCCAAAAAGGTTGAAAACCACTGCCTAAGGTCAATACACTACCACCTAATGAGCACTGATATA